CCTGCCTTTCGTCCTCTTCCAAACCACCCCCCAGTGCCTCAGCTTCCTTTCCTTTGGTGACCCCTCTGGCTAGTGATTTAAATCTGTTGATCTATACCTGAGATTAGTGGGAGATGTAATGGCTTTCTCAAAAGGAATGACCTGACAAGACTTCTGACAGCCTATAAATAAGTCTCTCCATTTGTCTTGGAGACTGCAGTGAAAACAGCCTGTTTCTCATTGATGTGAGAATTGTTTTTCCCTGCTAAGATTTATTATTAAAATTGGGTGTTGCTTAGCATTGTGACCTTTTAACCCAGAAAGGAAATGATGTATGAAGCTTGTGTAGCCTGCTTTCAGACCACTTGCTTTAAAGGGTGTGTTCTGCAAATTTTGAAAAACTTGCATAAATATCTAATCATTTGCTGTGTGAATGCAAATCTGTATTGTAGAAGTTCAGGACTTTTTAATTTCCAAATAAGGGAATGTGCTAGATTTGTCTACGTCCCCAGTTGATTTACTTTCTGCCTATTTTGTAAAAGAGGATTTTCTTGTGCTAAAGCTCTTGATAGCCATTTTCTCATGAAGTTTTTGGTTTAATACCTTATTAGTTTAAACTGTTTTGCATATCTTGATGTGCAATGACTTGATTGGACATTTTTGATTTCTATTGTCTACTAATAATATTTAAATTTAACTCCAATATTCACCATTTTTATTCCTTTTTAGCTCTTTGTTTTGCAACACAAGTGCTACAATACCCTTTTAAGTTGAGGATTGACTGTATCCTGGATGACTTACCTTGGTCAAACTCCCTGTTGCTGGGGTAGTGGTATTGGGTAACTGGGAAAATTTTCTGCGCGAGTGAACCTGAAACCCAGACCCCTTGTTCGGTCATCAGTTTTGTTTTGAAGAAATAAACTTTTTCTCCTTTAACATTTATTATAATCAAGCACTCACGAATCAAATCTGGTGGTTACCTCTGTTATCCCTGTGATGCCTTGGGTTCAGAAATAGCCTCATTTTAATTATTCACTTACAAGATGTGGGTATCATTGCCAGTGATTATTGCCCATCTCCAATTGCCTAGAAGATAGTTAAAAGTTGACCAAGTTGCTGTGGATCTGGAGTCATGTAGACCACACTGTAAAGATAGCAGATTTCCTTTCCTGATGTTCAATAGTGAACCAAATAGGCTTTCGTTACAATCAACAGTAGTTAGCTTAGATATTGGGCTAACTTTTTATTCTAGGTTTTTTTTATTGAATTCAAATTTCATTTGTTGTGATATGGTGCATTGATCATAGTCATAGTTACATAGCGCAGAGGAGCCCCTTTCGTGCATTGCACAACTAAATCCCACTTTTCATCAGTTAATTGATGTGAGAATTGTTTTTCCCCTGCTGTAAATTGTGGCATTTCAACTGCTCATCCAAAAATGTTTCCTTGCATTCCCTCAATCTGTTGCCCTTCACCTTGAAACTATGCTCACTTCATTATTGACCCTTCAGCTAAGGAGACCGGGTGCTTCTTATCCACTGTGTCCATGGCCCCTCTCATATGCACCTCAGCCTTCTCTGCTCAAAAGAAAATAATCTGAGGCTATCTGTGACTAAAATACTCTTTTCCCAGGAAACATCCTGGTGAATCTCCTCCACACCTCCACCCGTGCAATTACATCCTTTCTACAGTGAGATGATCAGAACTATACTCACTACTTCAGCTCCAACATTATCTCCCTGCTTTTATAATCTATGCACAACTGACAAAGGCAAGGTCCTGAATGCTGCCTTTAACTAACCTTGTTAACCTTCCCTGTGCCTTCAGGGATCTATAGACAGGTACCCCAAAATTCCATAGTTCCTTTTGAGCTTCCTAATGTCCTGGCATTCGTTGAGTTCTCTTTATCTTGTTCCTTCTTCCAAAGTGAGTCACTTAACACTTCTTTTGGGTTGAATTACATCTGCCAGCGACTCATCTCAGCATCTTGTCTAACTTCCTGTAACTTAAAACCACGTTCCTCACTATTGATCACCCAGCAATTCTTCATGTCATCGGTTTTTATTTATCACTTCTTCCCATTCCTTCGGTCCTGGCTGGGAATGCATTAAAATGATGTGAAGGATGGTGGTTTAAAAATAAACAATTTGACCTCCATAATCTTGTCCTGGATTGAATGTACATAGGATCACTTATTTGATCATTGAGGTCTGTCTTTGACATGCAGTCTGCTTACCTTTTCCATTGCTGACACTAAATAGTAAGTGGAATTCAGTTGCAAGCACATCACTTGTAACTTCCTAAATGCTCATCCAAAATTTGTTCCAATTGTACTATTAATGGGTATTCTGTTCTAATTTTGTAATGAACAATGGATATTATTCGAAACACACCCGTGTGACTGTTCATTTTGAGCTTGAGCAGAGAGTTCCAGTAGATAACTGCTTACAGAAAGCATCACTGACCAAGCTGATCCTCACCTCACTTGATCCGCATTTTCGAATAAGTGTACTGACAAATGACCAGGATCAAGAGCCCTGGGTGTTTTGTTTTATTTCTCTTCACGAACTACCCTCAGGACATGCACCCGAACCTTCCAAATCCAAGCTCTAAAGGAAGCAGCATGTCTTGATTTTGACAGAATGGATTGAAAAATCTTTCAAGCAGCCTACAATTCGTCTTTAAAGCCACATGTCTCAAGTATTTTTCCTGAAACTTACTGGCCAACTTGTATTAGTATTCCATTGATTTGTATTTGTAATGCTTTCTATTTCGAAAGCATTGGTAAATGCAGGATATTAAAAGCAGCTCTGCTGTTGTCTGTGACTGTAGATACTTGTCGCAACAGTGTTATGATTGATAGGCGGGGATGTGACTGTAATGTAAAATGTGATAGTACATTTTTTGATATTTTGTTGACCAAACTTTTTCACGAAGAAAACATTCAACTTTGTAGAAGGATCGCTATTGATGTTTGCTGTAACCAGTCAGGAAAGTAAATTTGATCATGACCTCTTTTTCACTATTGAATATGAAGATGAATGTTTGTTTGATACTTCTTTCTTTAAAAGTATCAGTTGTGCTCAGTTACGTAAGGGAGACATCTCTCCAATTGTGGGAATAACAAAGGAATCGGGGCATTGGCATTGTACTGACTGCACCAGTTAATTTATCCTCGTTACTTGCACTTGGGCAAATTAATCTTCATATAGATAAAGTATGCTGTTTCATGTAATTTTAGTGACTTAATTTCACCATTAATGTGATACCATCATATACAATTGTCTGGAGCAAACTGGCTAAGTCTTTTTTATATAATCACATGTTTATAGATGACAGGCTTCACATCAGTAAAAGCTTTTCTCCAAGTCTTGACATTATATTGTTTACTGGCAGAATCTTCTGATATACTTGTATGAAACAGGCTTTAAAGTGCTCCTTTTAGTTGTAACTTTTTTAAATTGCTTTTTTTCAGAGCAAATTCTATACAACATAAAACAGGAGTACAAACGCATTCAGAAGAGGAGGCATTTAGAAAGCTTCCTGCATCAAAGTGAGGGAAGTTGTTCAAGTGATGCACCATCTCATGTTCCAATTTTAAATGGACCAGCTTTGCAAGGTATGTACAGGCTTCAATGTGGTAATCTAGGTTCCTTGCTAAAGTCTACATTACTGATGGAGTTAACTGTAGTGGTCTGTGTGTATTTAAAATAAAACAGTTGTGATTTATGTGCTTTAGCAGCAGTTGAGATGTTTTTGGAATGATTTCTGGAGTTAAGCAGAGGTCAGGATGCAAGGCAATGTGGTTGCCCATTTACTGTCTAATTCATAACTGGACATAATGGAGGCTTGACATCTTGCAAAGCACCATCCTTGGAATGGATTTCCTTTTTGTGCAAGAAATATATGCTGTCCATTGAGCAGAACTGGATGCTGGGCACCACCGCTAGTATTGAATTACACTGCACTTACTGTAAATCTCCAAGTGATCATGATTTTGTTTGAATGTTACTTGATATTTAAGATGAGCAGTGCTTTACTGTTACAACTGCATTCATGGAGATAGGGTGACATTACAAGCCACACGTATCCATGCAGGTTGGACTAACTTGTAGAATAATAAACAGGAGTAGATTTCAACAATAAAATTCACTTTTTAGTTTGAATGTAATTGTCTGCTCAAGTTTCTGTTAATGGCAGTACTGAATGATGTGAAGTGACAAGTCACTGTATAGCAATAGCTATTGCCGTGTATATAACTGCTATATTAACTTGGAAGGCAACACATGTTTTTTGAATGAGTTTGAAAGTAATTTACTTTTAATTGAGAATCTTCAAAATTATGTAGACCAATACTTGATTAGTAGATGTTAATCAGTGAGGCAAGACGTGTCAGAGTAAAACAATGAGTACTGGAGTCTCAAGGAATTAGGTGAGCCAGTTGCAATTTAAAGTTTCTTTTAGTCTGGAACTGTACAAACTAAATCATGGAGGTATAATACTCAGTTAAATTGTTTTGATTTAATTGTAGTTTAATTTATAGTGATATTTCTGAACTTGAAACACTGATTAGTTAAATGTGGCAGGACAGGATGATTTGTGGGAAATGGTGGACATAAATATGCACAGTAGCCATATTTGCAGCCTTAGGGCTTCACATTAAATCTAATGAGTTGGTGTTGGAGCCTCATGCTATGATGCGTTAAGGAGGGAAAATCTTAACTGGACAATTTGTTCCATCCAGTAGTCGAACCTCTTGGGTGAAGTACCACTGATTCAGTCTGTAGTTAACGATTAAAGGGTGTGACTTCCAAGTGAGGCAGGTATAGGAATTCAGATGATGGCACTGAAGGAGCTGCAGCTCTTCTAAACATATCCACAGGAGCAAGATTCTTGCAACCTGTGGGAATGAGGCAGGATAATAGAAGATGAGCAAACCTGAACTGTACCGTGCTACAGGTGGCATTAACTTTGCATATTGAAAACTGGTATAGTGGTAGAAGTGGACATTTTATGATCATTAATCGGTGCAGCCTAAAGTGCTGAAGACTGTTGCTTTTATCCAGTGTTGAGGTTGAGTGAACCAGGCTTCAGAGGAACTTGGTGTGGATGGGGAAGGATCCGAATGTCATCTGCATGGGTAGTGACTACATAAGTAGCACTGAAGTTCTGTTACAGAAGAATAAGCAGCAAGGGGCTGTATTAGATGTGGAGATGCAGATGTTGAAATTGCTGGATTTTTACCTGGGATACATAATTTGGCACAGGCTGCATAAGACTAGAATTCGGTGTATGGTGTTAAGGTTGGTTCTATGGGGAAACAAAAAATAGGTTTCAATTCCTGGAGCTCGGACACTGGTGTGGTAGTGGAAAGGGGAAGCTGCTGTGTTAGGATAATCTTGACCTGAGTAATACTGGAGCCAGTGTGCGAGTGAATTGAATAACTGGGGCTGTAGAAACAGTGTAAAATTAATTTGTGTGAGTGGGCATTTAGAAAGTTAATGAGAGGACAAGACAATGGAGCAGGTTAGTGACATGGATAATGATGCTATAAGTAGACAAAGCCTAGAAACATGCAATAGCAAGTGTGGTCTTTTGTAGGGAAAATGGCAAAATTACAGAATTCAAGATTGCTTTCAATACAAACAACATAGTTTCTACCTGTTTTGATGGCACAAATAGAAATAAATGAAGAGGACACCCTATATGTCAGTGTGCTGTCAGGATTTAATTATGCAACTTTTACTTCTACCTGCTTGGTTGATGCTTTGTAACTGTATAAAGCTTTTTTAAAAAAAAAAAATTGTATCTGAAGTGACTTCAAGGCCAATCCATATCCAACCTACTCTGAAAACTTTTTTGCATACATTTGAAAGCTGAGACAATCAACAACACTTTAAATTAAATAAATCAAGACACAACATCAGATTGTTTTGAAGAAATTCCACGATCTGCATCTTTACTGCAAACTAATCTGTTCTTCCTTTCCCACCCCATCTCTATCCCAGAAGTTGAAATCTGTTCATTAGTCCATAAACAACATCTCAAATTAATGAACAAAAACCTATCTCTAGCTATCTTTACACCAAGGAAAATAGAATAGGTAATAACCATTACAGAAACCTGGTTACAAGGTAATCAAGACTGCAAACTGAGTAGTCATTAGTACTTGATATTTTCAGAAGGGTTTGAAGAAAGGAAAAGGAGCATGGGGTCATAACAGTAGCAACTTAAAATTTTAGGGGAGATGCTGGTGTAATATGTCAATGGACCAGTAATCAAGAACCCTGGTCTAATGTTCTGCAGATGTGGATACCATGGGAGATGGTGGAATTTCATTAAAAGTCTGAACATAAAAGCTGATACAATGGTCACTATGTAACCATTCTGAATTGTTGTGAAATGAAACTTTTTTTCTGCTTCACTGACTCCATTCTAAAGGACCTAACTGGATGGGCATTAAGTGCTGGCATGGCTAGCGACACCCACGACCCAACTTGGAGAATGGAGGTGAACAATAGCAAGGATGTAAATAGTGGAGAATTGTGTTAGCTGTAGTGTCATACCTTGGCCAGAAAGGTTAGGGTTCAAATCCCACCTGGTTCAGAGGTGTATCAGAACCTGCCTGAATAGGTTACATTGAAAAACAAAATGTCATGAGTAGGTGTAGTTCATAGGATCCCTAAGATTAGCCATACTGCAGGGCATTTCTAAGTTCATTAATTGTGGATAACTAATCTTTGTCTGAATAAATCAAAGGGGCAATCTTTTAGTAACTTAGAGGATGAATTCATCCTCTTTCTATTGAGTGACCATTTAGCCCATTCTGTTCTGGCCAAAAAAAGCAAGAGTTGCCTATTCCAATTCCTTGCATGTAAAGTCCTGTAAACCTGCAGATCTATGCACTACTTAAATTCATTGAGGACATCTGTCACCACCACCAAACCAGGCAGAGAGCTCCAGCAATGCACCACCCTCTGTGAAAATTTTCCTTTCTTCCTTTTCTTCTTTCACTAGTGACCCCTGGTGTTGCCCATTAGTTGATCTCTGGTAGAGAAAATGGGTCTTCCTTGCCTATTCTAGTTAGACTCCCTCATAATGTTGTACACTTTTTAATTCACTCTTCAGTCTCCTCGGTTGTAAGGAAAACAGCCCTAGTCTATTCTATACTTACTCAAAGTGGCAGTTTTCTTGACCTGCCAACAAAATTGTAAACTTGCTCTGTACTTTCTGTCCAGAGGAGTTTTGTCCTTCCTGTAATGAAGTGAGCAGAAATGTATGCAAAGTTCCAGTCGCAGCCTAACAAGTAGTTTATACAGCTACAACATTGCATGATACAAAAAGCAACAGCTAGTTGCAATGAAAGAAAGCATTGTTTTGCTTTTTAACCACCTTTATCTACCTGTCTCGCCACCTTCAAAGACCTGTGGAAATCTATTTCAGGGTCTTTCACTTGCTCTGCCCCTCAATATCCTCTTGTCTATTGTGTATTCCTGAGCTTTGTTTGCCCCCCTCCCCATTACCTCACTCACTTCTATACATTAATTTGCAATTGCCATTTAAAACTGTTCACTTAACCAAATCATTGATACTAATCATTCTGGCTTGACAGCCATCCACTTCACTGGCCACAGCGTGGCCAGTTTTGCTCTTCAAAATTTGGAGGCGTGATTGGGAAATTGAGTTCAAATATTAACCCACATAATGAACAGCAAGGGACCAAACACTGAACTGTGGGGCATCACTAGTAACTCCTCTTCCATTTGCTAAAACGTCCACCAGTTATCACCTTTAAGGTGTGACCTTCCCTTGAAACCATGGTAACTGTCCCTGATTAATCCATGCCTTTTTAGGCCAGCCTGACAGGCCAATAATTATTTGGCCTATCCCTTGCATTGCTTTTATACAATTATTTAATGTTCTTAGACCACCAGTTATCAGATACATCCTGTATCTAATGAAAAATGGGAAATTATCCTTGACACTTTTGTTCTTCCTGGTTTCCGTTTTGGCAACCTGGGATACGATTCATCTGGCACTTGTGATTTTCTTTCTTTCAAGAATGTCTGTCCCTCCAGAACTACCTTTTTCACATTATGCTTGTTTTATCCAATATTTCACATTCCTCTTTTAACTGGAATGTCTGCATCATCCCTAGCCCTATCCTCTGAGGATAAAGTGCTCCTTGAGAACCCTATCCACACACAAGTCGTGTGTTTGTTACCCCCAACTCTTTCCATGGAAATTCTCTTGTTCTTAGAAAAACGATAAAACAATATAGGGTGTTTTTTTTTTTTTTTTTTTTTATTTTGAATAAAGCAAAAGAATTGTGGATGCTGTAAATCATAAGGTGCTGGAAAAGCTCAGCAGGTCAGGCAGCATTTGTAGAGAGATCAGAGTTAATGTTTTGGGTTGAGTGACCCTTCCTCAGATTTTCTTGGGTTTTTAAACATGTTTTTCATGTTCTTACTTTGCTTTCCTAATTTCTTTTTAAACTTCACTCTACTTTCAGTTCTGCTCTTGGTGTTCTACATATTCAGTTTTTTGCGACTGCCATAAGCTTCCTTTTTTCTAAATTTGTCTTGTACAGTGTGCTTCTTATTCACTAGGGTTCTCTAG